TATAACATAATTAATCCAAACATAAAATGATAAAGCGAGTAAATAATTTTGAAAAAATGGTATGTTTGCAAAGATTTTGAAAGGCATTTTTGAAAAGTGACATTTCTCAAAATTTCTCTAAATCTTGTTTGTTTTGCAAGTATTAATTCAAGTGTATTTCAATGATCAGTTAAAAGTTTACGAGGTTTCTCTTGTATTTGAAAAAATAATTACATGATTGAAAGTCTGGAGGTAAATCGTTGGAGTTGCATTTTTAGCGGGGATATACATATTTATACTAATTGTGATTTTTAAAACGCGATTTTGGTTTACTTATTCGTGGTTACCGTTTAATTACGAAATTAGCTAAACCAATTTCATTTGATCAATTTAGAAGAGTTAATAAGTTCATGTAATTCTATGATCGGTTTAAATTGTTTTAGACTTTTAGTTGCACTTTTAGGGGAAATACGCGACCAACCCTATATTCTATCAATAATGACAAGTTTTAAAAATAAATTTTATAAAAAATTTATGTTTGGATATATGAAATAATTTTCCAAAAATAAATAAATTATAATTGTATTGTTGGGTACTAATATGAGAAATCCCTTGTAGTATTTAAAATTTTAGAGATCTACATTATTCCAACACAAAAATTGTTTATTTATAGATGTATTTTAAAATTTATGCGTTGAAAAAATGTAAATTATGCAAGAAATATGTAATATTTAAAGTTATGTAGAAAATGTCAGATAGCTCAAAATATTTGAGTCATTTGACAATGAAACTTTTGAAATCGTAAGCAAAAAAATATATTACATAGCTTCTGATGTACACTATTAATGTAAAAAATTACTGATCTACTATTTGTTTGATATGAAAAATAATATTTGCTAGAAGACTTCAAGATTAAAAAAAGATCATTATTGTTTTTATACTTGTTAGTGTATTTGACGTTTTGCAGAATATTCGTGGGATTTATAATCACGACTAATGCGGCCAATGTTTAGTCACGCGACTCACGCCTAATACCGGTCACATGCAAACACATGTGGTGATATGATACGAGAACTCCATTCGGCGGCAATCGCTAAATATTCTCATCGAACCAAATTAATTGTAATTTCTCCAATGTTTTGTTATATTTTGGCACTATATTTTTGTTAATTTCTTTCATTAAAATACATTGGTTAGTCTACAGTAGAAGTACATCCGTTAGTTGATAAAGAAATACCTTGTGTTAAAATCGACGGCCTAACTAATTAAATAATAATAAAATATGAATTTTAAACTCCTAACTCAACAAAAGAGATTTGTATGCTTATAATAAAATATTTAAAATGAAGTTTTTTTTCTTACAAATATTAGTTTTGAAAGCAAACTGAATAAAGGTAACAAAAAACAGTAAGAGGCAACAAACGAAACTCTAGAACAAGACAACAAGATTCCATGTTTCTGCACAAGAAGAATCAAATCAAACACTTTAAACAAAGTTAAAAACTTTGATCAGAATCATTTTTTTCTCCTCGAAGGAGGAGGTTCACGGCTGAGATTATGCTTTTGAAGAGTCTTGATATAATTTCTCATGAGTCCAAACTTATTGCTCCCAAGCTCGTAGAAATAATCCCATGGATATATCCCTGTTCTATGCAAGTCATCAAACACTAACCTGAATCCTCAAACCCCAATCGTATTAAGTTATAACCGAACAAACAAAAAACATAAGTTCCTGTATCTTTACGATGGCTAACTTATTATAACGAACTTGCGGGATTTGTAAGTACCTTACCCCGTAGTTTCCAACCGGTTCTGCAGACATGATTCCTACATACCGCCTTCCAGATATCACCTGATTCAAGGCCAAAGATTAAAAAATAGCAAGACTCAGATACCACATAGTGTTAAGAGTGCAGCTTAAAGAATGCAATTTTTTTGTCCGAACCCGTCTAGAATCTATGTCCGATTAGTCACAATGAATGGCTTAGTAACCTGAGCTTAGAAAGAAACAAATAACAAAGACTGATTGCTAAGATACTTAAGATTGCATTTTCAACAAAATCCTTACAAATTATAGTCAATGAGAACACAAAAGAAGTAGCCAAAAGCAAAGTCTCAAAGAAACAACATCAAGACTCATTGCTAACAATGTCTCCATCCAGTGAAATTATATATCATCAAAGATTGCATCTTTATCAAAACGGGCCAAGGATCTACGAACGATCAACCAATAGAGCAACTAGACTTGATTTTTACCAGAATCCATCCATCTATAACTAAGTTATATGTTGGAGTAAAGAACAAGAAGCTAGTGGCCATAAACTAAGCTGGTCCAAAAACAATAAGCCAAAATAAACAAAAAGCAGCATCCAATGCTAATGTAACCTCATAGGCAGCTATCAAATTATTGCAACGAGGATTAAGACAAGATATCAAAAGTCTATATACTCCCTAGAAAAGATTTGTGAAACAAAAATCATGTGGCTTGGAAACAATCTTTGATGCAAATCGAGAGACTTGGATAATTCATAGAAAAAGTTGACCAATTACCTTTTCACCACCGATTGATCTGACTTTTCCATCAGCAGCGGGACTATGAACTCTCAGAAACTCAGATGAGAAACTGAATTTGGTGCCATTTGCAAACTCAACCTCAACCTTCAAACAAAGATATTTGACAAAATCAGATTATCCAACACCAAATATCGAATCCATGGGTCTCAAATCGTAAGAGTACCCAAAAAAAACAGCGAAGCTTACGTTTTTGGGAGATATAATAGAGAATCCTGAGAGTTTTGGAAAAGTGACATCACTTGTGCCATGGATTCTCCGGCTTAACACTCTCGTAATCGCCAACATTTCTTGTTCCGGCGATCGCCGAAGACGACGATTCTAGCTCCCCAATCATCTCTCTCTGCTAAAAGCCCGAAACTTTCTTTATTGGGCCTAATTAAATGCTCTTTGGGCTGAGTTGTA